AGAATACTATCACGTCAGGTAAAATTGCTGTTTTTTGTCCACTTAAGAGTCCGTTCTGCTCTTCAAAACCCAAACAAGAATTTACAGGTTGGTTGGCCAATAAAATGCTTCTCGTGGACACTTCAAAAAACTCTAGAGCGTAGTCCCTGACAGACGCATGGACGCAGATTTTTCTCAAAGCGAGAACTTCGGGCTGCTCTTTATATATGCCTTTTCAAAGACCTTGTTTTTGATAAGCAAGTTTTGCTGTGAGTGGATAAAAAGAAGTTCCTACTCATTCAAATTAAACTTTTTACACATCAACTTCTTATTGCCAGCATATCCGTACTGCAAGTAGTTGTAATCACAAATTAAGTTGAAAACACTAACAGAAAAGAACACGCAGTTACTAGCAGAACGTCTTATTTAAAGCACTATAGATATCCTTTATCAACTGACAGCTATGCACCCTCAAAGACTCATTTTGGTAACATGAACAATATGGCAATATTAAAGACGAGGTTGAGAATTGCTTTTTGACAGACCATAGTATTCCAATTTCAATCCATCATCTGACTTCGCTGCACGACAAAAATTTTCTGCCTCAGAAAATTAGAGCTCAAATTGAATTGAAAAACTGTGATGGCTATTCACTTGTGCATTGAAAACAGTGCTTATCATATTCTTCAACAGTATTGCACTTAAGATTTAAAAAAACGCGTTGGAGTATTCGATTGAAGCATGTGACCGTGAAGCTGATTGAAGGTACAAAAGCAATATTACACACACACACATTCGTATATAATTTAAGCCCTTCAGAGGATATTTATAATTTAAAAAGATCAATTTGTTTAACGCGCGTCTCATTGCATGACTCTGATTTAGAAAGAGCTGTCTTTGAGCTGGCCTCGAGAAAATTTTCCATAATTTAATGTCTAAGATGTATCCAATCGACCTCCGGATGTGTTCTAATGTTAGAAAATGTCTTGTTTACTGGGTCGTCGCTCCCAAAATTTAAAATACTTCTGCCCTTTAAGAGTCGGTCTTTTTTCAGAAAGCCTTGTGGATTAGTAGCAACTTGAATAAACGTTGTTATGACAAGGAAGAAAACGGACTGCATTTATTACCAAGACTCCCCTTTTTTAACCACCTCTAAAGAAAATGAATTTGTCTCTATGATTTTCATGAAGATATAAAGGCCTCAAACTATTTCGACTTTTTAAATATGTTTAATGTTCTGGGATGATTTTAATGCTTTAGAAGGCCCAGCTTGGAAGACTCAGTTGGCCTCGGCGAACTAGACAATTTTTGGGCTAAACGTTAAAATGGCCGACCAAGAGCTGGCAAAATTTTACATCTGAGCCAGTTTAAACGCTCAAAATACCTAAATTATCTACAATGAGGTAGAGCGACTGGTGGAGGAATATTCTTGAGCAATTGTTCTAAAAGCTGCATGACTAATATGAGTCAATTAAGAGCAAAAGTTGTAATTTACTGAATTGCATAACTGCACAAACACTATTTGGGTATACGTATCATAACCGCATTAACTGCGGGCACCCTTACTAAGTGACTTCTTTTACTACTTCATAGTACTCATTAAAAAACAGTTTCTCCAATCTCATGAAATATGTTACACGCCAACTAGAGGTGGGACACCAGAGATAGCCCTCCTTTCTCTTATACAATTTCTTCAATTTTTGGCTTTTCAAAATTCGCCTTCCTCTAGTCCCCACAACTGGGTATTTTATAATGCCATTAAACAGTAAAACGTGACTTTACTGCAAATGCCTTTGTCACGCAAGTGTTTGCTTTGCCATTAAAGACCACCATGTAAAATTTTAAATGGCAGCTAGACTGCAAAACACCGGTTGAAGGCGCTACCCCGTAAGCAGTCCAGTCCGCACTCCTCTGTCAGTGCATATCAACAGAAGGAAAGGGTTCTAGACACGCCTTTGCCAGGACTGTCTATGTTTCTGTGACTGTCGCTGAGAGGAGCATATTAGCAAAGGCTTATCTGTCAGGGGGAGCAGGGAAGGC